TATATATCTATTTACATCTTAGGTGCTTTCTCCCATAACCTACAACTAAGATAGAATTTCCTGGTCGACTTTTCGAAGCTATATGCGCCAGGTTTATTAATTATAACCGTACATGTCAAATAAGTATTAAAACTCCCTTTACTCTAACTTGATGTTGTGTCTAGTTGTTGGCTAAAAAGTCGGTCAAGGCTTGGCGAACAAGTCGACCTTGTGCATTAGCGTTAAGCCCAGGGGGAAGGGGAGCACTACCACCATCACCATCATCGTCGTCATCATCGTCGTCTGATTCATCATTCTCTAATGCATCCCCTCTCAGTAAACCGATGTTATGTAAGATACAGCAGGCTAGGATAGTTAAGGGTACTTTTCCTGTACCTTCCTTGAGTACCTTCAACAAACATCTCCACCTGCACTTTAGTTTGCCAAATGCTCGTTCTACCACCACCCTGCTTTTATTCATGGCCTTGTTAAATCTCCCTTGATCTCATGTTAGGGTGGCGGATCGCGGATAGTGGCCAATGAGCCAAGATAACAATGGGTAAGCTGAATCGCCAAGTAGAAGGGGTCTTACAGCAATTCCTTCACTAGACTTTTCTGGCTGGGATAAGATTTCGCCGTCTGTTGCCTTACTGTACAATGAGCTTAATCTCAGTACCCTGGCATCATGCATACTGCCTGGCCAACCAGTGCTGACGTCAATGAACATACCCGTTCCATCAACAGTTCCTTGTAGATTTATGGAGTAGTTTTGTTTTCGATTAAAATAATCCTCGTGGCAAGTTTTGGGGGCTTTGATTTGTACATGGGAGCCGTCTATAGCACCAATAACGTTTGGCAAGCCAGCAATACTTTTCATTCTTCTGATTGCTAAAGTTACATCTTCTTCATCAACTGGAAATTTGATAAACACATCTTTCCTTCGAATAATCGCACGTGTAAACTCGTTGCATATTTTAATAACTGTCGATTTTCCTAGCCCAAAAGTAATCCCAGTTGTTCGGTAAGAGTTTCCTGAGCCAAGTCGCCACAGCACAACTGCGACTCTCTTGTATACAGGTACGGCTTTTCTCAGTCTAGTACCTTCTTTCTGCAAGTCTCCTTCAATCAGCTGGCAAATATAGTCAAATGTATCTCTGGTCACCCTGAAATGCTTTTTCCACAGTGCTTCAAGGTTTCTGTTTCTGTACATTTCTTCAAACCATTCTTGGGGTCGAGGGTAAACCCACACTTGCCTTCGCAATGCCGCTCTTTCTCTAAGAGTACGTCTTCGATGGGTGATCAATGAACCTGTCACTAAAACATCTTCACTAACTTCGTATTCGAAAACAAGGTAGGTAATAAGGGAGCGCATTCGTCTTGCTTGCCTGAGCAGCAGAATTAAAACCAAAATGCTCACAACAGAAAACAATACTCTCTCACATTGAACCATCTTTGCACACTTGTGAGGGTCACGCTCAAGAAGTTACAGTTCAGTAATTTCAATTTAGTCAGCTGTCATAGCACGCCATCATTTGTTTTACTTATCACTCTCACGTTACCGATCACGCGAGAAAAAACGCCTGGAAAGTTTCAAATGTCTTTTTAAGTGGACCTGTCAGGTTTACTACGGTAAAGAAGACGTTACGAGACTTACCATAGTAAAGCCCTTTTTACCATAGTAAAGTCTCTAGTCTGACCTCGACCATTTTCGCTAAAAATTTGCCAAGACACGTGCCTCTACCTGTTTTACCACCTCGGTTTACAAGAAGGCAAAATGACATTTTATACTCACAAAATCCGTTACTTTAAGCGCCAAAATATATATCTCTGTTTAAGACTGATTTCCCACCACCTACTGCCATAAAAAGCTTGAAATAAAGTGCATAAACTATAGTCATTACAATAAACTGTAGGAATTCAGTCGGAATGAGGGTTAAATTCCCATCAATTTTAACAAGTACATGTTCGCGTTTACTCAGTTGACGATTAGAGCTGATTTCCCTTCTTTTACACAAATTTACAGACGAAACGGCTTAGCTTTCATTTGGTTCCGAGCGGAAAGATAAAAAGCATATCAAAATGCTCTTATATAAACTCGAAGCTTGAATAAAGATTCTCAATTTGTGGTGGGAAATTCAGAAACGCGTTTCTGCGTCTTGAGCTCTCCGGCCACCATTTTGTCTCACAAGTATTCGGCCTCAGCAGTTGCCATGAATGGAAATCAGCCAATGACCATTCAGTAGCGTGGTTAGAAGGCGAGGGTGCCAAGTCAAAACAAGGCGGATGAACGGGAGCAAGAGAAGCAATTCTTTTGTTGACTAGACACCCACGGTTTGTCTCTGAAGCAACGGAAAACGGTACGAAAAACAAAAGGAGACAATTCTTAAAATCAGTACATTCCTGATGGGAGTTGATATGTAACCATTTCTGCGGGTACGATAAAAGAAAATGGTTTTATAAGTGACTAGAGCTTCAAGCAAGATCGGTTTGTTCTCATTCCTTTTTTGTCTGTTGTAAATAGCAAAACGCGGTATATGTCAAAATAAATTACTCTTTAGATAAAATAAGGTTTCAGGTTTCAGGAATATATTATTATTTTGGGCGCAATTTTCAAATAAAATCAGCGCGCCACCTAGGCAATAAGTGAAAGACGTTCAACTCTCTCAATATATCAATCGCAAAAATCCAAATGCCCCTTATATTCAGCTACGGATTTGCCAGGGTTGCTGTGAAAGAAAGTCTCCATAAAGCTGGAAGAGCACAGCAGGAAACTGATCCGGTTCAGAGATGGAAAAATTACTGTAACATGTTTAATGAAACAGCTCAATCTGTATTCATTGTTGAGAAGACCATGTTCACGAAGAAATCACGAATAATCTACAATCTATTCCGCAAAATGTCCTCCCAAAGCAGGAACGATTACCTGAAGCATTTTTCCCTTTCGAACTGGAAGGCTCTACCAGCATCACAAAAATCTCAGCATACGATGTCTAACTGTAGTGCTTGTCAAGTGCATCATTTTGATTTTCAGTCCCTGTTTCCAACTACTACTGCAGGCAAATGCAAGCCACAGACGCTAATTCGACAAGCCTTAATGGAAAGCGAAAACAAGGGCAACAAGACGATTAAGCCTACACAGAAAGCAATAAAAGCAGCAGTAAAACACATTTATTCAAACATTGACGCTCCCTTTCAAAACGTTTTCAAAGTTAGTTTTGCTGAAGCCCAAACTAAAGTTGCTGAGCTGGAACTACAAACAAAAAAAAGCAGAACTGAAAAGAAATGCGAACGCAGACAGAGGGCACGTCAGGAGAAGCAAAAAGTTCAGGAGGAATAGTTGAAACGTGATGCAGACATGATGCTTGCGACAAGGCAGTCCTTCAGTCAGAGGGCCAAAGAACGAAGCTCGTTGTATTTCGAGTCTTTCAAGGAAGCCGCTGCCCGGGTCGAAAAACAGAAGAGGATGGAAGATCTTGGGCAAAGAAAGCGTAAACGTCACTCTCCGCAACCAAACCAGATTGAGTTTGACAAAGAAAACCTCCTGAAAGAAGTAAAAAACATGAAGGATAATGAAAAGGTGAAGAAAGATACAGTTCACAGGGGATATCAATTTTCTAATGGACAATTAAAAATAATAATAAAGAGTGACATGTAAGATACCCTATTCAGGACACATGATAAACTTTTGAAGATATTTTTTAAAAAACCATTCAATCCTCCACATGATGCCAATGACATAATTTGTCATTTTGCTTTTAACAATGCACTGTGCATCAACACTGTCACACTGAATTTCTTTAATCTGGGATTCCCCTCTCAGTTAATTTGCTATCAGGGCCACTTTGACAAGGGAAACCATAAGTGCAACTTTTATCATGTCAAATATTCCAAGTTAAAAAAATAGTAAATCCTCAAAACGTTGCAACTATAGGAGCAACTGTCCCTGATGAAGTACCCTCAGTTGAAACTATTGTACAAATATTATATTATTTACCATCAAAAAAGTTCTTTTTATAAAATCAAGTCAATTTAACACCTGATTTTATATTGCATGCACCTAGATTAATTATTCAGACCTTGCAAGAAGATACGGTCTGACAGATACAAGGTTGGGCAACATGGTGGTCAAGCAATATCTTGAGAGCCAGGGAGTCGATCTAGAGCGATTTCAAGCATTACATCACAGCAAACGAAATCCAAGGCGGCAACTAATCAGAATGGCTGGAGGAGAAATAACTGTGCCTGTCCCAAGAACAAATAAAGATATTAAAGAAACTCTAAAGGTTTGTTCCAAACTCAAACACCACCACCACCAATAGTCAATAAAACACCAAAATACAAAACAATAAATTATTTGGCAAAAGCAAACAGCAATAAAACAATAAAGTTAGGTAGCTGTTTGAATAAAGTAAAGAGAAAACAAAGTACAGGAAAACCATTGTTTTTCATGCTCATGCCTCCATATAACTTCCTGAAACAGATTCCAACAGGGTTCTTTTCGCAACTAATCCATTTAATTCACTCAACTTGCTAAAAAGAGTACAAAGCAGAGACAACTGACAAGTGTGCTTACTGACAGCTAAGGGGTAATCCCTCTTTTTTCAGTATTCATATTAACCACAAAAATTTCTACACCATGCTGACTATAACCAACCTTAACTTACAACTATGTGAAAGTAAAATGATTTTAAAATCAATTTTAGGTGAAACTTGAGGCAGGAGAATACACCATTGGTGAGCTTGTGGTTCCAAAACAGTACAAGAAGTTAGTCCTTACCAGCGAAGGAACATTAAAGGAGGTTGTGTTCACAGTTTCTGGAAGGAAGATACCCTTAACAGAAATAAGAAAAAGAGAACTAGGCAGATGTGAGCAACTTGGAGTGGTTCGAGACCATACCAATGATGACTATGCACAAATGAGTGATGATCAGATATCTCAGCGGCTAAGAGTGCTTGGAGATGAGGGCCATCTCAGGGCGGGATACTCCAGGTCAAAGAAGAGAACGACTTATAAAATTTGAAAGAACTAGACATCTGATGATATGGGGGGATGGCTCAACAATTCTAAACCATGGCCATCTCCTGTATCTTATTCAGTATCTTTATGATCTGGCATTTTACTATTCCTCTGCAGAAATGAGAGAAAAAGGGTACAGTGACATTGATGTCCCAGCACTGGTAGAAAGGCCTCACATATACATCCTTGGAAAGTGCAACGCAAAGGAAGTAGATCAGTTGTCCTACGTTGACACAAGGCGAGAATGTTTAGAGCAGCTACAAAACAACTTAACTCACAAGGAAGGGATCACCTATACATGATGTGATGCATTTCTTTCACGGTGATGGACCAGAGCAGCAATTTGAAAGTGGAGAGCAAAGAGGAGGGAACAATGGCTGTAGTTCTTGTAGTGGTGATTCCCGCAGATACAGAGACCTGACATATAGCTTAAGGAACCCACACCTGTCCCTAGAAGACCGATGCAGTATAGTGCGCTCAGGACCAGCTGGAAGAAGTAGAAGAAAAGGAGGGATCAGGCCCTTTAAGGATATGACAGTGGAGGAGTTGAGAAATGAGTGTGTAGCAAGGGGATTGAAAGATGAACGATTGAAGAAAAATTTACAGACAAGCCTGAAAGAGCACCTGAAGGGTGTGCAAAGAGTGCCAGCTTTGATAATCAATGAGAAGGATAAGAACATGCATGATATCAACTTGGGTAAAGAATAATATTTTTGCTACTATCACAATGTTTCTAAAACGATGAGATTTCAACGGTGAAGTTCAACAATTAGCTTCCTTGCGACATTTTGCCAGATCTCTACATCTCAGTCTGAAAACTGTGCCTTCTTAAGAATGGTTCAATTCTTTCAATCAAAATTGCCATTTTTTTATTTTAAAAAAAATTTCATCAAAAAAGAAAACAAATTCTTTCGCGTTTAATTTGCCACTTGTTGTTTTTTTTGCACATCGTTATGAAATTTTGACCAAATACTTTAATAATCACAATATTACTATATGTCTTTAAGCAAAGCATTCAGTTGTGAAGCAGCAGTTTAAGAAGTGGGAACAGAATTTGTTCTTGGAGCATGAGTGCACTGAGCCAAGTCCTGAGGACATACGCAATGATAGACAAGGGCATGATTTCTACAAGACCTTAAGGCTATGTAAACAGCTTTTACAGCATTGGAACATAACAGTACACATGTAACTTCACAATAAATGTAAACTTATGTCATATGGGAAAAATTGTCCTACTTATGTAGACTAGCATTTTCCTAGCTCACAAAACATTCTTATTTAGAACACACTTCACTTTTTCAAATTCCTGGAAAAAGAATTGGTAGGCAAAATTTTGCTGGTATTAAAATTAGTTTCTTGTTAACAGTTTGTAAATGTAAGTTTTTAAGTACTAAAAAAGAAATACTGTTAATGCCACACAGTTCCAAGAAAGGACATTTCGATGCGAAGTAAAGTGGATTTAGAGTGACCGGTGGACATCCTTTCGAGACAAAGTAACTGAACAAAGTCGTTTCGATACAAGTTCATTCAGTTAAGGTGTAAGTAGTTTCATGTCCTTGGCTTAAAGAACGAATAATTTTCACCAAAATGTTAATTTCTTGTTCACACATAAACGTTACTTGAAGCAAACAAAATTTCTGTGCAATTTCACTGCTTGAGTTCATATCGTAACAACTTGTATCGAAACGGCTTTGTATCTGAACGACCGGTTTTTGAGTTTTGAGTTAAAAATTTTAACACTTTTTAAGTTCATTCTTGATCTTGGAAATATTGAAATCTAGTCTCAATGTACATAGCCTCAATAAATTCACCTAAGACACAAGCAAGGTACCTACATTAATTGTGTATATGAGCTTCAATAAATCTTTTAGATGTAAGCTTAAGACTTAATAGCATTGATTCAGTACCACATCGAACACCCGCTGCATTGTCAAAATATCAGAATTTTCTATCGAATCCACAAAACAACAGAAAAATTTTCTTACCTTTTTTCCATTACTTGTTTTGGGTAGTTGCAGTGACCACAATCTGATCGACAAAACAGTTTCCTCGCACAACATTCACTGTACATGTACATTTCAAAATGGCGGAAGTCCTTCGCGAATTGCGCGACACAGAGAGATGGCGGATTCATTGTCACTATGGTAACGCGCGAGATTCTCGCGAATTCCATTCAATCTGCTGGGGGCAAAAATCATTTTTGATCCAGGCCTTAATCTACCAGAGTAGAACAATAAAATGATTGTATCGCTAGACGCTTACAAATTCTATCCTTTTTGTTCCTTGATAGAGATCACTGACAACCAAATTTTAAGAAATATACTGCATATATTTTTTTTACCTCTAAGTGTCTTTTGAGTCACATTATAACTAAAATTCAGTTGTGTTAGTTTGTCAATAATGCAGAGAAAGGCAATAAAGTAGTTGTGAAAACTGCAGTCATGTATAAACATATTGCAACTGGAAACTGAGGTGCATTTCCTTTTTGTGGAAACCCTTGACAATAGGAATAAATTCTCACGATATGCATGTATCTAAATTGCTGACTGGTATGTTAGTTTTTAAACATGAAGTTGTTTTATACGTAAGCATACTGAATTTGTTTCCCCGTACTTAATACTGTAATACAAGCAGATTCCTTTGAAAAACCTTTATCCTATTTATTAGTTGCAGGAAGTGCAAATTTCAAGATGCCAAGCACATGTCTTACACTCTGTGGCATGACCCAGCCTACTGCAGAACCATTGATTGTGGATAAAAGCAATTTTGACAAGGGCCTGGCCTCACGTTTCCTGTGCATTTTCCCAAAAACCAGTGTTCAGGCCATTTTCTGCCTTAGAAGTATCTACAAATGAACAACTCAAAGAAGATGCAGAAAACTCTACTCGTTACCTTGGTAATATTTTTTCATAAGTACTTGATTATTCCATACTAATAATATGTTATTTTACTTACACACCACAAGGTTCTAAATTGATTGATTTTCCCGTATTTATTGCATTTCCAAATTGTTATTGAATCAGTTGTCATAAGGTGCCACCAGTCCACCAAAAATGTGGCAAAGTTTGAAGAATGCTGGGTGCATAATGCGACACATGCATAAGACCAACCAAGACCATACTGCCACACATTGTTACTAGTACTTCCAAAGGGTTTGATGGGAGAATAAAGCATTTATAAACCCAAACACAATGAAAGGTTTAAATGTGGAAGCTATCATGAAGTCTTATGGCTATTTTCCAAAATCAGAAAATAACATTGACATAATTTTGCTTTTATTTCATGCTCCAGAGGATACAATTATACAGATTGTGAAAAGTTCAAGCCAAGATTCAACTGAACGAAATATGTATGAAGTGGAAATAACCCCTTAAAAAAAACTTACCCCAAGGCCTATGACTTCTGCCAGCAGATATTAGAACAGAAATGCTTGGAAGACTCCTTTATTTGTGGTTAGTTACTAATTAGTAATCAACATCCAAATTTCATCGGTTCCAGCAGATCTTAATTGTACAAGACCCTGACAATGACTTCTACACATCGGCTCCAGCAGATCCTGTACAAGACCCTGACGAATTCCAAACATCAGTTCGAGCATCTGCTACAGCAGAATCCTACTGCAACAAAGCATTTTTAAAATCAAGAAGCTGGAACAACTTTACAGTGAAAGAGTTAGGACCAGAGAAGCTTGGTGTTTCCAGCTTTAAGGAGTATGTAGAGCAGTTGTTGCAATTTCCATCGTCAAAAAGAAGCAGCGAAGGTTACAGATATACAAAGATTCATCGTATGGCAACAGCCATCCTCGCCAAGAATAGAGAGATGGTTGTTATACATGCAGCAATTCAAATACACCATTAGGCCCATCCATGGCAAAGAAAATCCTGCTGGTGCACTGAAAAGACTCTAAGTAGGTGAAGTGGCTAAAGAGTTTCTCAGGCAGACAGAACAATGTGCCCTCACAGTAGTCACTGATGCTATACCTGCTGCTTCATTACCCCGCCAAGTGGAGAGAGAGTCTGAATTGGACCCAACCCTGCAATTAGTTCGTGAAGTCCTAACTACTGGTGATTGCTCTCCACGAGTGCAACAAGGGAAAAATATGAAGCATGCGGGTTAATCACAGTGGCTGATCAACTGAAACCACCCTGGTCAATGCAAAACACCGATGAAGCATCCAGTTGCATTTTCAACGCAGTAAAGGCAAAAAGGCCTTCAAAGGCTTAGTTGAATGAAATCAGTGACATGAATCGAAGAATCTACAAGACCAAGTAAGCGATCACTGCGATCGTATGTTGTATACTGTTTTTACTGACGAGGCAATGTCATATTGAGTCATTAACTGATCAACTGAGATTATAGAATTGGACAATGAACTCTTAGTTTTGAAGATAAAACAAATTGATTGACTGAATTACGTTGGAAAGATGGGCATTTTATTACAGCATTTAAGAATAGCTTAATCAAGTTTACCTCATTCTGCTTGTATCACTGAGATTGTTATATTCAATACACGGATTCATAGGGACACAAAAGTGGCAATGACGAAAACGAACCAAACTTCTACAAGCAAATCACATAATTATTAAACAACCAAGGTTTCAAAAACAGCCATCATAAGCAACTGCTCCACAATGAAGTGCAGCAGAAGGTGCGACCGCCATCACAACATTCATTACCATTCCTTGCAGCAGTTTACCACCTTTTCCACCGGTAGATCTACTCAGTGTAGAACAAGCCTAGGTAGCAAAAGTGGTGTAGACACTTCAAAAATCTTTTAACTACTTTGTGCGAGTTTGACCCCACGGTTTGCAGTGGCCTACTCCTCAAGTATGCTGCTGAGGCCACAAATAACATCTTCGATACTTTGCCTGATACAGTATCATCCTTGACACTGCAAGCTTCAAAAACGACCGTTTTGTCAAGTATGTTTATAGTGACATAGACCATCCACCCAAGTGGTCTTTTCTTCTTGACCTCCACCATTATATGAGGTTAGAGCTTGAG